TCATACTGGACCAAAATAGACAAATCGGGCGCCGGGCCAATACTCCCTGCGTCGCTCGGTCTGTATTCGCATGCTTCCGTTCGTTTAGGTTTCAGTTTTATGTTTCCAGCCAGGGAGAGAGGGTTTTGGGTAGATAATTCATCACCCCTCTCCCCCACACCAATCTCGCTAGTCTCTATTGAGAATGCAACTGGCTGCATACGTCGTTTGAAAATTCAGACGCAAAAGACGCATGCTGACGATCGCTACGTCTTCTCTAGTGTGCACTAGCTTGCGCGAATTCGGTCACACTTTAAAGGAGAAATGCCCAAAATCTGCCGTAGCTATAGTTATTTTGTAGGAAGATAAACCATCTTAAAGTGGTGTGCTTAGAAAAATGCAATACTCCGAAAAATGTGAGAATATTTAAGGTGAGAAGAAGACGACTCGGTCGCGGGGACAACACTTAGATTCGCCTGATGTTTCGACATCCCTCGCAGATTCATCATCAGAGACATTAACAGAATGTATCTGATGATGAATCCGCAAGGGATGTCAAAACGCCAGGTGAACAAATGTACGGGGATATGTCGAAGGAACTTCATATTACTTAGTTGGAAAGCTTGACACAATCAAATCTCGGCTTGTAATTCAACCTATACAGGCGTCTTTTGATATTTTAGAAACACAAGCCCTCGCTTTCTTCAAGTATACAGACCAGAAAAAACTGTACATAACAAATGCGTTATTTATACAACTTTTTGAGAAAATATGACTAAATTAACACAGTCTTTAAATATATATTTGAAGTCTGCAATACGTATGCGGTGAGTTTGTAGGAGTATGTTGCCCAGCGCAACTGCGTTGACTTATCCTACCCTCGTCTGCTCTGACTTAAAGTCATGTGTAACCAATTATCCTCTCCGCGCGCTATCGGCTTTTTTTACCCTGTCGATTTATTTGCCGCTTGATAAGTGCGTAAGCTTGAAGTCAGTCGATGCTCTCGCTTCATTTGATTGGTTGCAAGCGAGAGAGCATGCATCACGGCAGAAGAGGCTTTACAGCAGCACACCTTTTCACGGACTCGGCTGGCTTTTGTACGCGGCACTTGCAGCAACTAGTATAAGGCTACTTTAGCACAGTTAACCTGTTCCAGTTCATTCCGTCTTCCCTGACTTGTGATCTTGGGATCCGTCTGTTGTCCATACAGCAACTAGCTTTTGATAAATTCACACCCCCATTTTGCTCATGCAGCTTTTTGAAAGCATGTTAGTTTAATGAGCAGACTGATAACGTGAAAGAATGGTTTACTCATCTATAAACCGATTATATATTTTCCTAGATTTAAAACTTTCTAGTCGAAAGCGTAAAGAAAAAGGTAATTCATAGATTAATGAGTTGGAGCGCAGGCTAAGACTTTGAGGTTTACCTGATGATTTTCTTCTGGAAAGAGTCACTGTTATGAGCACTGTGATCGCTCCGTGCCGTTCGAATGAGGTAAGAGGTCTCTGTTTCTTACGCTAGACAAGTCCGTTCCTGCATTTGCACAGAAAATGTGTTCCGACTGCACTGATAGCCCGTTGTGTGAGACATCAGATAGTAGCTCTACGCTTGACAGACAGGAGACCTAAAGGCAGTAGCTGGTCCGTTTCCATAGATAGCCTAGAGGTCACTAGAATTATCGATTAACAGACTAATCGTCTTTGTGAAGCAAACAGAAGGACTACGAGGCCTCGTGAAGACCAGACATTCTGGGTCAAGTGATTGACTCTTTTGTTGGTTGTGTCATTGTGAATGTAGTCATGCTTTTATTTAGGCATGTTTTTAGTACGCAACTTGAGTCACGCCCCAAAGGATTTTAGAAACCGAAAATCGCTTTCTCCGAAGTGATCACCCCATGGATTTTACTTGACGAGTAAAAACTTGTACAAAATGCCTGTGGGTTTATGAACGGTCGGTATTTATATACGGTTGCTGTTGTATGCCCACCTAAACAAGACATGGAAACGGACATCATCCATAATACATGTGAATTCGCGTTAAATTCCGGGCAAATTAGGTCAAGGATTAAGGGGAGAGTTAGCCTTAAGACTAGGGTTAGGTTTTAATGTCGACGTTAACGTCAGAGTCGGTGTCAGTGTTATGGTTCGCTTTCGTGTTGACTGTGGGGCCTAGGTTAAAGGTATAGCTGATGTAACAATTACGGTTACGGTTTATTTTTATGTTAAAGTTGGGTTAAGCGCAAAAATATTCGCCTTTCCTGAAATTAATTACACGATAACCCAGCTTAAGCACGTGAGGCGTTCTTATTCCCGCGTAGGCGGCCGTACAAGTCATCCTTACCAGTAACTCTTCTAAAGAAGTCAGAACCACACTTAAGGATCCAACATCCAGCCTGAGGGAAGTTCAAAGAAGGAAGGAAGCAAGAATTTTCCCATAGAAAAGGCGTATGCCCTATTTATGCCGGAACCATCTTGGAATGCACCTTGTGGACCAGTTGTTCTATTAAATTCCGTTGACCCAATTGTGAAAAATTTGCGGCCTCGGTGGGCCTCATAGCTCAATGATAGAGGGTTGGCTGCGCAAAAGCCTTCAGTGCTGTGTGTGTTCGACTCCCATAGAAGCCGCAAATTTTTCCCAGTTGGGTCGACTGGGTTAAGCTAATCTGCCAAACCCCCCTAACAATCTAGAAGATGCTAGAAGACAAAGAGTAAACTTGGCACGTTACTCTTGTTGACAGTAAGTGCGCTTGTGTCAGTGAAGGGCCACGTGGCACCCTGTCTGGGTAGGAATCTCCTTCCCTTTGTGTGAAAATGTGGGATGTTTTGCAACGGGCCAGGTCATGTGTAGTACGCATGGTCAGACTGCCACCGTTCTGTTAATCACCTGTGTCCACTCTCCATAGACTGAAGGACTGAAAGTAAAATACCTAATAGACAAGATTTTTTGATCGAATTGTTTCTTTGGCACAACATAACGGACACTCTCTGCTCAACAGTACGGACTCTTGAAAATTGAGCCGCCATTTTTTCGTCTCTCCGTTCGCAGTTAACATTTCTTACATTGGTTAACCCAGTACATCCATTCAAAGCCGATTTTTACCCTTCATTGTTTATCTGAACCAAAACAGTGAGGTCAACATGGCATGATGCTAGCGGCGATTTGAAGGAAGTTAAATTTTGCTTACATTTTGTGACATATTCATGTACATTTTTCCAGGATGTCGAAAATTGGGGTTTCTGTGCCTTATTTTATTCACGTTAAATGG